TGTACGGGAGCCACATTAAGGACTGTTCATTCGGATCGGATATCCGAAATCCGAACCGATCCATTCAATTTTGAATTTTGGATTTCGGATTGGATCGGATTTCGGATTATGTTTATTAAAATTTCGGATTTCGGATCGGATTTCGGATTGGTATATTTTAATCCAATCCAATCCGAAATCCGAAATTATTAGGACATGTATAAATACTACACTTTAATTTACATCAACCTCCAAGTTATTACCTTTACAATTGCTAGATTTAGCTATATTGNAGTACTCTCATAATTGCATAAACATGAATTTTTCTTAATGTATTGCCTCTTTTACAAAGAAAATATACATATTAGTTTAACTTTGAGGCATAATAATACGATCCGATATCCGATCCGATCCAAACTTTAAAATCCGATCCGATCCAAACTTTAAAATCCGATCCGATCCGATATAATTCGGATCGGATTCGGATTGCATTTTCTAGAATCCGAAATATGCTAAATCCGATCCGATCCGATCCGTGCACAGCCCTAAGCCACATATCGTAGTTATGAATTAAAAATTGAGAATTAATTACCCAAAGCGAGATCCTAATCATGGTTAGAATAACAAATACTTATATTATTTGCTCTAAAAAGTTTTGGCAATCCCACTATTCTAGGCAAAAGATTATGTAATTTGTATATACATTCAAAGAAGCACTTTCTTTCCTACTTTATTGCGAGTTTTTTTTTGTTTTTTTTTTAAAATACTTTTTTCCCCTTTTTGAGTAAGAATTTTTCTTTATTTTTTTGAGTTTTTAATTTTTTAATTTTTTTCTACATTCCTACCAGAAGAGAAAGAATCAACATCTAATGCTTAGTGTGACAATAACATCAAATTGAATTAACATATGATATTTAAAATTTAAAGGGAGTATTTGTAAAATTTAAATTAAAAAATATATATGATGTTAGAAATTAAGCGGACCACTCATTGACTTGTTAATTATTAAGGGAAAGACAAAGTACTAAGCAGATTAATAAAAAAGGGAACACAACAAAGAAAACAAAAGATTAACTCAAAATACAAAAATTATGAATTTGAGACAAAAGAAAAACTGTTCAAAAAAAAACTCGTAATAAAGTAGGAAAAAAGAGATTTTTTGCTATAAAAAAGAGATTTCTCAAAATATATATGGATTACATAATATTTTAGCTCAGAATTGTGGGGTTGCCAAAAATTTTAAGAGCAAATAAAGGAAATATTATTATCCTAACCATTGTTAGGAGTTTGTTTTGGATAATTAGATCTCAACCTTTAATTCTTAATTATGACATATGGCTCTCATCCAAATAGTAATTTGGGAAAATGGAGAGAAGTCCCATCTAAGATGGATGATATTTTATAAAGCATGTTTTTATCATTACGAAGTAAATTTTTTCATCTACGTGGGTAGGAGATACGGAGGAGGAATGTCTCTTCTGGACTAGGTGGGTAGGAGATAAGGTGCGAAATGTGGGCAGTTTCAAACTTTGATATTCTGGGAGGGTGGGGGCAGGAACGAGATAGGTATCTTGGTTAATAAGGACCTCCGAGAACTAGGCGTGGAGGTTAGGAGGGTAAATGACAGGCTGATGACTATTAAGCTAGTTGTTGAAGGTTTTACTTTGAATATAATCAGTGCGTACGCACCCCAAGTAGGCTTGAATGAGGAAGTAAAGAGGCGTTTCTGGGAGGATTAATGAGATGGTGCATGGTATCCCGCATACCGAGAAGCTTTTTATAGGAGGAGATTTCAATAGACACATTGGAGCGACGTCTGGGGGGTGATGATGTGCATGGTGGCTTAGTTTTTGGAGATAGAAACGGAGGAGGAACGTCTTTTCTGAACTTTGCTAGAGCATTTGATTTGGTGACAGCAAACTCGAGTTTCCGAAGAAGAGGGAGCACTTGGTCACCTTCCGGAGTTCGGTGGCCGAGACTCAGATTGATTATTTACTCTGCAGGAAGTCCGATAGAGGCCTTTGCACGGATTGCAAGGTCATCCCAAGTGAGAACCACTCAACCCTTCATAGGCTCCTGTCCATGGACCTTGAGATCAAGAGGAAGAGGAGGAAGAGGGCGATGTATAACCAATATAGGATCAAGTGAGGAGCATTGACGGAAGCTAAAGCGCAGGAGTTGGGGGTCAAGATAGTGACTATGGGGGCTTGGAGTAGTAGTGGGGATGCAAGCTCTATGTGGATCACGACTGCGCAGTGCATTAGGGAAGCCACGGGTGAGTATTAGGGGTCTCAAAGGGTTACTCTGGTGGTCACAAGGGAGACTGGTGGTGGAATGAAGAGGTACAAGGAAAAGTGAAAACCAAGAAAGCAACGTATCTGAAGCTAGTGCAAAGTGTAGACGAGTAGGAGAATAGGGCGAATAGGGAGCATTAAAAGTTGGCTAAGAAAGAGGCAAAACTAGCAGTTACAACGGCCAAGAATGTAACTTTTAGTCAATTGTTTGAGGAACTCGAGGACCGGGGTGGGGATAATAGGTTGTTCGTGTTAGCCAAGGCGCGGGAAAGAAAGCCGTGTGACTTGGACCAAGTGAAGTGCATCAAGGACGAAGAAGGTAGAGTTTTGTTAGATGAGGTGCTTATACGTCGGAGATGGCAGACCTACTTCCATAGTCTCTTGAACGAGGAGAGGTACATGAGCATTGTTTTGGGTGATTTGGAACTCTCCGGGAGACGTTGTGACTTTGGGTAGTGAAAGTGGATTAGAGTTGATGAAGTTGAGGGGGCTATGCGTAAGATGAGTAGGGCAAAGCGACCGGGCTGGATGAAATCTCAGTGGAGTTTTGGAAGAGTGCGGGCAAGGTAGGCTTGGAGTGGCTCACTAAGTTATTTAATGTCATTTTTAGAACGAAGAAAATGCGCAAAGAGTAGAGGTGGGGCACGATTAGAACAAAGGTGATATCCAAAATTGCAATAATTATCGGGGTATCAAGCTACTTAACCATACTATAAAAGTATGGGAGAGAGTGGTAGAGCTAAGGGTGAGGAAGAGGGTGTCTATTTCTGAGAATCAGTTTGGGTTTATGCCAGGGCGTTCGACTACAGAAGTCACCCGCCTTGTTAGGAGATTGATGGAGCAGTACAGGGAGAAAAAGAAGGACTTGCATATGGTGTTTATCGACTTAGAAAAGGCGTACACTAAAGTTCTAAGGGAGGTTTTGTGGAGATATTTGAAGGCTAGAGGTGTACCTGTTGCCTTATTTAGGTTGATTAAGGACATGTATGATGGAGTAAAGAACCAAGTGAGGACAACGGGTGGGGACTCAGACCATTTTTCGGTTGCATCAGGGGTCAGTATTCAACCTTTTTTTGTTTGCTCTGGTGATGGACGTACTGACGCACCATATCTAAGGGGAGGTGTCGTGGTGCATGATATTTGCAGATAATATTGTATTGATTGACGAGACACGAGATGGTGTGAACGCGCAATTAGAGGTATGGAGGCAGACCCTGGAATCTAAAGGTTTTAAGTTGAGCAGGACCAAGACAGAATACTTGGAGTGTAAGTTCAGTGGCGAGACTCAGGGGGGGAGGTGAGGCTGGACTCGTAGGTCATCCCTAAGAGAGGGAGTTTTCAGTATCTTGGGTCTATTATTCAGGAGGATGGGGAGATTGATGAAGATGTCACACATTGTATTGGGGTGGGATGGATGAAATAAAGACTCGTTTCCGGTGTTTTATGTGACAAAAAGATGTCACCAAAACTTAAGGGTAAGTTCTACAGAGTGGTGGTCAGACCAACGTTGTTGTATAGGGCTGAGTTTTGGCTAATCAAGATCGCTCATGTCCAGAAGATGAAGGTAGCATAGATGAGGATGTTGAAATAGATGTGCGGGCACACCAGGTTAGATAGGATAAAAAATGAGGTTATTCGCGATAAGGTGGGTGTGGCTCCTATTGAGGACAAGATGCGGGAAGCGCGACTTAGGTGGTTTGGCCATGCGAGGAGGAAGAGCACAGACGCCCCGGTGAGGAGGTGTGAGAGGTTGACATTGAAGGGCCTATAGAGAGGTATAGGTAGGCCAAAGAAAAGGCGGGGAGAGGTGATTAGGCAAGACATGACGTAACTTCAGCTAACCGAGGACATGACCCTTGATAGAAAGGTATGGAGGTCGAGGATTAGGGTAGTAGAGTAGGTAGTCTAGAGTGTTCATATGTAACGATCCGGATGGTCGTTTCGTGAATCGTATCCCCGTTTTCCCCATTTCTGCTTCTTTATATTGGGAACACCTAATTTTTGCACTATTTTGACACCTCCTAAAGTTATTAGTGTTTTGTTATTTAAATTATTTTTCTCAATTTTTGTGACTTTAATTGCATATTTCCTTCTAATAAAATACTAAAAAAATAGTTCTTTCTTCATTTGTGCATTTTAAGAATTAATTAGTTGTTCAGTTGGTGAATTAATCTAGTTAATTGATTATTAGAATAAGTTATTTAATTAATTTATTTGTGTAAAATTAGTTTAATAAGTAGGATTAAGGAAGAAATTTGGCCAAATTTGAAAGAAAAAGTGTCCAAGAGTGCAAGATAAAGGGCTGCCATTGAAAGGGTCTGAAACTACGTAGTTTTGCCTCGAAACTACGTCGTTTCACTAAATGAAACAAGATCAAATCATACCCATCTATTCCATCTTGATCCAATGGATCTCATTCACTCTTGGCTTAGGTATTTAAAGCCTCAAAAATCTGAAAATTGTCCTCATTTTCACCCATAATTCTTTTCTCCTTCTTCTCTCTTCTCTCTCTCTTCACTCTCTCTACGCCGCCCCAGCTCCGCCCACCGCCGCCGGCCGGAAATCGTCGTTGCCGGCGGACCACCTCCAAACACCTCCAAATTCACACCATATAATCTCCACAACTTCCTCTTTCCATATCTCCAAACCAAATCCTTCAAAAATCCCTCAAACTCCTTGAATCTTAGATCTAGGAAACTTTCACGTCACTTTTTTGCCCAAATTCTTGAAGCTCCAACCACTACCGCCCCACAATACCTACATCAATGGATAGAGCTCCTCAAGACCTAGCTATTGATGCCAATTTTACCCTGAAAATCCGGCGATCAAAATCCGGCCAAATTCCGGCGACCTCCCCGAACCCCCTCTTTGGGCATACCATCATTTTTTCGGCCACTTGAATTATAAAATGGTAAAAATCCTATTCTTTTTTGTGGCTGTTTTTTTCTATTTTATTTTTATTTTTTCAGATTTTATTTTTGTCTATTATTAATTATTTTAGCATTAGTTTTTGAAGTTTGAAATGTTAAATTTTCTGTTTTTGCACTTGTTGAAGTAGTAAAATAGTTTTGTGTTGATAAAAGTGAGGTAGTGAAAAATACTTAAGAGTATATGGTATTTGTTTGGTTGTTTATTTACTGCTTCAAGACTCTTTGAGTACAACACTCAAAAGTCAAATTGTTTGGTAAGAAAATGTAGATCTTTGGATAATGTTTGAATAAAAGTCTGTCTTTGAATAGTGGAGAGCAGATTTTGTTTGAAATACTTGATAAGATTTGAACCAGAAAGTCTGGCATTTTGAATTTAAGAGAAGATTTTGTAGAAAAATCTGTCAAAAAGATTGATTTTTAATTTTTTGAAATAGCTGATTGTTTTGATATATAGGAGGACACTCCATCTTACTGAGGGAGCTCTACACACAAAAAAATAAAAAAATAAAATCAGTAGCTATAATATCCCTTAGCAGCTTTTGTGAGTTGATTCTTAAGTGAAAAACTTGTTTAAGGAAAATAGAGTAGTCTTGAAAGATTTTTCTGAAGTTACATAATTGTACAATTTTGCTGGGGTATTTCTAGTTTATTTTTTTGGGTTTGAATCTGCCAGTTGTCGCTATCTTTTGTTGTTGTTGCTGCCCATTTAATTGTTTTGCTGTTGATTTTGGAAAGAGCTGACTCTGCTGTATTTGTTCTTCTTTCTGCTGTCCAGGTAATTTTCGGACCATGTAAACTCATAAAATCGAGTTGGAATGAAAGATAATGACGCTGGGAAATATTAGTAGCTTCATCCTTCTATTGTAATTCATTTTTATATGCTCTTGAATGTTTGATAATGTTATAACGATATGTTAGTTAATTAAATTGTGTTAAGCATCTTTAATTATTTTTATTTTT